ACATGGGTGTCTGATGCCCCGGACCAGTTTTTACTCATGATCGGTCCGTAGTGCATTAGCTCCAACTTTCGTATAAGACCTTGGATTGGGACGATTTATATATCAAAATTTGATGAGCTCGACGAGAAGAAGATAATCCATATAGAATACTTCTTCATTTGAGGTTGTCTTGGAGGCGTAATCGGCCGAACAGTATTCTGAATACAAAATTTTGGCACTTCGAGTATAGTTGCGGCCCTCGAGATGGGACCGTATGGTGATGATCCAAAAATCAAAGTTTCTCATTTTGACGATACCGAAATTTGTCATGTTGAAAACTTTTCCATTCGAGGCTATCTTAATTAAGTTCTTGACAATGGCAAAATTTGGTGTCAACGGCTAACTCTAAGTGTGGCGTCGGTGGTCACAGGAAGAACACTTGCAACAAACCTAAGGTGGTGCTCCACGTTGTCGCAAACTCTACCTTGGATCCAAGTAATATGTGTGAGTGATTCCGTTTAAATGCAATGTTTTTGTTCTGTCGTGAACGTGATGAGAGCTAAGTAGCCGTTATCTGCAACTGAAATAAAATCCCGAAAACAATGCCACCCCAGTGACGTGTGATGTATATGTTCAACTGTCACTGTTCTGTGTGCTTGTTGTTTGTAAAACAGAGGAATGTATGAATCTTAGACTTTTATCCATATTTCATAGTTCGATTCCACTGTGTATTCTTCAGTCATAAGTGAATGTGGTCTGTTGGCGTGTCTGCTGGAAAGTGGTTGAAGTAGTGCACAACTGCCACAGTGCATAATGTCGCCGCTTCTGCTTAGACGGCCGTCAACCCGCCATGCACAATGTCGTCCCTCCTCGTTCTGTATCGCATTAAATTATCGGCCATCTGTTGTACTCAATACAGCACGCAGACGCTAATCAACGCCCAACGATACCGAGACCAGGCGAGGACGAGCGCTCCCGTGGATTTTCAGAGAAATATGTTTGTTTTACCCGTGAGGTTTTTTAAAGGTGTGCATGTGTGGTTATTGATGTTTTCTTTTCTCTCAATCTGATTTTAATGAGTGTTTATTTGCAAGTCGGATCACCGCCGGTACGAAAGAAAAACGAATCATGCACTATATGTTAAGTTTACACTAAAAATAACATTTGTGAAATATTTAACAGCTAAAAATAACATCAGATTCTACACATTTTTCTAATCAAATTTCATATATGACATGTTAGAATCGGAGTTACGGTTTAAAAGATATGTATAATCTTTTTTAGATAAACTGCGGATTGATTAACCGAAAAGTCAGTTTTTTTGGTTAAAATAAAAAAGGTGAGGCTGACTTAAATACGGACTGCGGGTTGATTAATATAAAAGGCAGGGGGTTTTGTGTAAAATGTGAAAAAACGATTCGTTTCCAATTAAAGATATATTGCGGGTTAATTAATAGAAAAGGCAGGGGGTTTCTGCAAAAAGATGCGACGGACAACCAGAAGCACTCCATCCTTTATTATTAGGAAAAGATTAGTAAAAGATCCTGTGCGTCGCTCAGAGAAAAAATAGCACACACGCTTAACCCAATAACCATGACTAAAGACCACAATAGGTCTGCGTCCTTCATTTTAGCAGGGCATCATATTTGTGTTGCCGCTTATCCTCCTTCTCACTCTCGTCGGCGATGACCTTAGTGTTCACACAGAACTTGTTTGAACGTGTTTTGATGGATGTTTATTTGCAATCCTTTTCTAAATTATAAGTTTGCTTCTAGAATAATATTTAAAAAATATTTAATAGGTAAAAATAGCATAATATACAGACTCTAGATATTTTTGTAATCAAATTTTATATATAACATGTTAAAATCAAAGTTGTGGTTTAAAAGATATGGATAATTTAGAAAAGCATTTGTTTGACTGAAATATGATCCATGGGTGAATTAGCTGTAAATCAGGGGGTTTGCGAAAAAAAAGCAAAAGAACCGGTTCGACTATTTCTCAAGTATGAACTGTGGATGGAATACTCAAAAACACAGGGTTTTTTCTGCAAAATTATTGACGAACAGCCAAATGCACTAATGACTTTATCCCTAATATTAAAAGACGAAATATTTCATAGTTCTCCATACATTTTTCTTAGTTTTCCGTACGAAGTTGGCCATCTACTGGGCCGAGTTGGGCTTGATCCGCACAATTTTCGGTTGACTAGCAAAAAAAATATTGCTTTTGCAGAGGTTCAAACTTGCAAGCTCTCGGCCATGTCCACAAGGCTAGAGCCAACCAAGCTGACGTTTCTTTGGTTATAAAATAGGTTCCCTACATAGTCCATCTCGCTTGTTTTCATCACTTTTCACCAAATACGTTCCTGAAGCAAGAAGTTGTTTCAGGAATTAACAAATTGAATGAAGTGCGATGTGAATCTGATCTCCCTTGGAGCGGAAGAGAGGCCAAACGGGATATGATACACAGAGAGTGGGGTCGAGAAAGGACTGGCGGCAGTGGTGGCTGCAGTCTCAAGCAGCAGTCCGAGGCACATGACGGCGGCAAATTTGACAAATTTAACCTGCGGACCAAATCAAATCACGAAATGAACTGTCCGTGAAACTATTTCACGCAGCTGACCTTTTTGTGTGACGCCCGACACGGCGTCACACTACATTGTGCAACGTCTCACAGATAGGCGCTACACGCCTGGCCAGCGTTGCACCCCAGACTGCCTAAAAATTGCTAAGTCACTGTGCAGAGCCTAAGAGCTAGGCGCTGCACTGTACAGTGTGGCGACTAGCTCTCAGGCGCTGCACTAGTGGTTGCACTATAAAATAAAGCAACCACTAGTGCAACGCCTAGAAGCTAGGCGCTACACTGTATAGTGTGGTGCCTAGCTCTCAGACGCTGCACACTGACTTAGTAATTTTCGGATCACATGGTGCGACGCTGGCCAGGCGTGTAGCGCCTATCTGTTAGGCGTTGCACAGTGTAGTATGGCGCTTTCGTGTCGGGCGTCACACAAAAAGGTCAGCCACGTGAAATAGTTTCACGGGCAGTTTATTCTGTGATTTGATTTCATTCATAGGTCAAATTTGCCAATTTTGCCCATGACGACTACAACCGGTGGAGCTGCAGAGGTGGCTCTGGGTGCGCGCGTGCTGGAGACGACTTGCTTCGCCGCAGGAAGCCGAAGGGAAGACGGGAAGGCAGCTCTGGCCCGATGA